CACTCCCAGTGCTTGGACCATTGCTGGGGTGTAATTGATGTGGGTCCTTACTGGGTCTTCCTCCTCATCCTTGTGTTTAAATGGCCTTCCATCTAAGTCTGCCTTTAGGGGCCCCAATCTAAGATGCTGGTGCCCATCAGGGCCCCAGGAAGTGGACTTGTAACTGAACCTGTGCAGTAGGGCCAGCTCTGTGGTGGTCAAGGGCATGCAGAGGCCCCTGGCAGGCAGATACAATGTTACTAACAGGCCCTGACCCGTTCAGCACCAATTAAAGGGAAGACGAGAAAGTCGGTGGGGAGGGGACAATGCCAGGGTGCGAAGCCCAGGAGCGTGGGGCCATCTCAGGGGCTGCCCAGCACACTCCCCGGAGAGTAACAAAGGGAAGAACAGACACTGTGTTCAGCAGGCTTATTTCCTTTAGAAATAGCCTTACCAATGACAAGTGTGAATGGAAGTTATATGTAGAGTCTACATTTTGAAATCTTCAGGCAAAAAATTAGCATAAATTCAATCCCATGTCTCTAATACTATTTTGACAAGAGACTCGGTGGGTGGTGGAGAGATCACGTGCTTTGCAGCCAGGTGTGGCCTAAGAATGCTGGTGAGCCTCCCTACATCCCATCTATGAAATGGAGATAATGACAGTCTCCGTGCCATGCTGATCTGACGATCAGAGACAAAAGACAGGGATATGCAACCGCCCTTGACTGATAGGCGGAGAACAGCAAACACCCAGGTTGTTCGCCCTGGAAAGTGGACCGTCTTAGCACTTCCTCTCAGATGAAGGAAAGCAGCAATACTGGCAGCCAACTAGAGGGCTGGTCCCAGAGGCACACGTCAGAGGAATGGGAGTCAGACCACACGCCGTCACCACGAAGCCCACAATCAACAGCGAGCTTTTTCACCTCTTGGCGTCTGAGACCTTCCTCCCAGAAAAATTCAGACACAACACTTGGCAAAACTCTAAACTGAGACTGCAAGCCTGGTTGAGACCCACCTTGGGGTAGAAACCACCGCAGCTCCCAAGGTCCTCAGCAGGCAGGCGGGTCCTCGTCAAAGCCTGCGCACCCGTTTCCTCCACAACAGCGTGGGTGCCGCCCTGGAGCCTGTTCTGACCGCGACCGGACCAAGAGCCCACGTGCTGGCCGGAAAAGCCCTCAGTGACCTGAGAGCTGGCAGGACAACGGCCGCCACTGAGTACCATTCCCTCTCCTCTGCCCCGCAGCACACCTCTCACTGTCTGCAAACCTCCCGAATCCAGCCTTCATCTCACTTCTCAGCTGCACGAGAGGACCTCAAAGGCCTCCTCACCTCTAATATTCAGTGATTCCAGTTCCACATTAGACACAAATTAACTGACACTCTTAAGAAAAAAACAAACAAACTCAACGTATTCCAGTTCATTATTATTGAGTCTATACCAAATTATCTTATTTAGAGTTAATTTTTACCCCCATATTCACAGGCAGCACTATTCACAACAGCCAAAGGTGGGAGCAGCCCAAGTGTCCATGGACCCCTAGATGGATAAACAAAATGTGATCCATCCACACAATGGCGTAGTATTCAGGCTTGACAAGGAGGGAATTCTCACACACACTACAACATGGATGAACCTTGACGATGCCATGCTAAGTGAAATAAGTCAGATACAAAAGGGCATATATTGTGTAATTCCACAGAGGAGTCACATTAAAAAAGAAGTAGATGGTGGTGCCAGGGGCTGGGGGAGGGGAGACGGGAGCTGTTGAATGTGCACCGAGTTTCAGTTTGGGAAGATGAGAAGGTTCTAGAGATGATGGAGGTGATGGGTTGTACAACAGTATGGATGTACTTAATGCCACCGAACTATACACTTAAAGATGGTAAGCTTTATGTCGTAGTATTTTATCACTATATATATATGTATGTATATATATACCTTGGTTTGCAAGCATAATTCGTTCTGGAGACAAACTACTCGTATTGCAAGACATCGCTCATTTACCATGTTAAAATGTATTAGAAATGTTTGCTCGTCTTGCAGAACACTCGCAAACCAAGTTACTCGCAATCCAGTTTTAATATATATATATGTATACATATATATGTATACATATATATACATATATATATATATAAAGACACCCTAAACAAGGGTAGAAATAAGCACACAGATCTTTTCAAAACGTTTATCTGACAAAGGACCTGTATCCAGAATATATAAAGAACTACTGAGAAATCTATATATATATAAAAAACAACCTAATCAAAAAAGGATATGAATAAGCTATTAATTCAAAACACAGAAAACGAATAACCCAAAACCCATGGTGATGAAAGCTCAGCCGCATTTGTGATCAGTGAAATGCAAATTAAAACAAGATGCCATTTACTGAAACGGAAAAATTCACGTCTGACAGTGCCGCACACTGGAGGGGGTCACAGGGAGCAGAGCCTGAGTGGGAAAAGCCACTGTGAGTAGGTGTTTGGCCATGCCCGTCACCCGGCAATGTCCCATGTGTGCCCCAGGAGACCTGAAGGGGTGTTCACTGAACTCAGAGTAGGCTATTTCCCACTTTCCACCCAGTGCCTGTCAGTAGTGGAATGGATAAAAAACTGGCATATTCATAATGAAATGTCACATAACAAGTAAGTAACTGAACAGACAATACACGGGTAAATCTTGAAAACATCATGCAATGTTTCAAGATGGCAGAATAAGGCATACAGTGCAATTGCACCAGTGTAGAATTTTGAAACACACAGAAGGAACTGGTGAAAGGATCACTAGTTGCCAAGGGGAGAGGTGACTGGGTGCAGCCGGGGGTGTTTGGGGCAGTGAAACTACTCTGTGTGATGCTATCATGATGGGGCCATGACATTATGCATTTGTCCAGACCCACAGACTACAGCACCAAGAGTGAGCTGTCACATCAACGCTGGACTTGATCTAATAATAAGGTACCCGTGCTGGTTCACCAGCTGTAAAAATGCACCACACCAGTGCAGGATGTCAGCACAGCGACGCTGGGGCACAGCATGGAGACCCTGAGCTTTGTGCTTGACTGTCCTGCAAACCTAAAACCGCTCTAAAAGTCAAGTCCATTAAATTTTTAAGGAACATAGATAAAAGAAAGGAACCACAAAAAACGATACTATCTATATCTGTGGATCAGTACCCTATCTTTAAAAAGGGGTAATGACAGGCCCTTCCTCATACACTTGTGAGGGTTAAACAAGTTAATACCTATAAACTGTTTACAACAGCATCTGGCACATAGAAGAGAGAGTAAAACCACTATGGTGGTCAGGGAACCGTGCAGGGATAGGAAAGGACCCAGGTGTGACAGGGGGCGGTCAGGGGACCGTTCAGGGATAGGAAAGGACCCGGGTGTGACAAGAGGCAGTCAGGGGACTGTGCAGGGATAGGAAATGATCCAGACAGGAGGCGGTTAGGGGATGCGTGCAGGGATAGTATTGGGTAGTCAGAAAAGTCATGACGTATTTTGTCTATGTTTTTCATACGTCATTAATTTTATAAAGAACACAGATCAATCAATGATATATTGCCCGTTTTGTTCGAAAACCTTCTGCCATCTTTCAGTGAGCTTCATAATACCTCGTTCATAGAAGGACCTGTCTTTACGTGCGAAAAACTGAACAAGGTGCTGATTTACAGCCTCATTTGAATTGAACGTTAAACCATGCAAGGAGTTTTGAAGAGAGTGAAACAAGTGGAAGTCTGACAGCGCAAGGTCAGGCGAGTATGGTGGGTGTGGCAACACATCCCATCCAAGCTCCAATAATTTTTGACAGGTGATCAAACTTGTGTACGGTCTCGCGTTGTTGCGATGGAGCACAACTCCTTTACAATTAACAAGCTCTGGGCGTTTCTGGATGAGGGATTCATTCAAACTGTCCAACTGCCGACAGTACACATTCGAATTGATTGTTTGGATTCTTGGTAGGAGCTCAAAAAACACGACATCTTTAAAATCCCACCACACTGAGAGCATAACCTTCCTCTGATGAATGTCTGCTTTCGATGTCGTTTGAGGCGAATCATCACATTGGGACCAAGACCATTTGCACACCACATTGTTGTAAACAATCCACTTCTCATAACCAGTTATTAGTCGCTTCAAAAAACAATCATTTTCCTCACGTTTAATGAGCATATTGCAGATGTTTATACGTGCTGTCAAATGAACTTCTTTGAGTTCATGCAGAACCCAAATATCGAGCTTGCTTACATATCCCAGCTTCTTCAGGTGGTCGTGAATGCTTGAATGATGGCTGTTCAACATTTCTACAATCTCTCATGTCGTGTAACATGGATTTGACTCAATCAGTGCCTTTATTTTGTCGTCATCAACCTCGGTGGGCCTCCTTGACTGAGGAGTGTCGTCGAGATCAAAATCACCAGCATGGAATTTCGTGAACCATCGTTGGCACTGACGTTCTTGTAGAGCATTGTCACCGTAACTTGACGCAACTTTTCACAAGCTTGACATGCGTTCTTCCATTTATGGAAGTAAAACAGTAAAATATGGCAAAAATGCACAGTTTGGTCTTCCATCTTCAACTTGTTGTAAAATCTTCAAAACTCAACCAAATTGCTCAATTTTTTTAAGAATGAAGCTAGAACAGTCAGCTGTCAAATGCCATAGCAATAACATAGATGCGAATGACTCTAGAACTTCCAAAAATGAACTAGTGCCATCTGTTGCAAACATACGTCATGAGTTTTCCGACAACCCAATAAATTACCGGGTGCGACAGAAGGTGTCAGAGGATGCGCGCAGGGTAGGAATGGACCCAGGTGTGACAGGAGGCGGTCAGGGGACCGTGCAGGGTAGGAAAGGACCCGGGTATGCATTAGAGGACAGCGGTTGCTACGAGAGAGAGGAGTAGGGAGTAGGATCAGGGTGGAATTCAAAGAGGTTCATAAGTATCTGGAAGACTGGATTTCATTTCTAAGAACCCAAGGATTAAAGAAGAAAAACTGAAATGATTACCTCAAGGTCATCGAGGGAGCGAGTAACACTAAATCTTTTAGATCTTCCGAACGATCTCCGAGCCGAGGTGCGCTGAGAAGTCTGAGCGAGTCCGAGTCCCCGTCCAAGCTTTGAGCCCTAAAGAAGGAGAAAGCATCAATCAAGTTGACTCCTTGGGAAGAGACGTGTAGCTCTGCCTGACACACCACCTTGGAGAAAAGAGAGGGCTATGGTGGGACAGAACACGGCTATGTCACCCCAGGGTACATTTCATGGTGTGCAGACATCACCACAGTACAAAAATACAGAGTTGAAACAAAAAAAGAGCCGTCCCAGGATCTCCAAGCATCTGCTCAGCCCCTTACATCGATGTGCCCCAGAGAACGACCCCCAGCCTCAACTTCCTCTATCGCAAAGGGATCAAAACAGTCACCTCCAAAGGCTGTCACCAAGAGCAAATGCAAGAACATGTTTGAACATTTGTGAAAGCACAGTGTGTGATGAGTAACAATTATTACTATAAAAGCTGGTTTTCAGCAAGGTCATGCTTTTACATAATTTTATAAGCATTTTGGGAAATTGAAGAATTCCTAAACATTCAGCTGGAGCCTGAAGACCAACCCAACTCAGGCGCGGGGAATAACTGGCCATTGAAACTTCTTGTTCTTCCTCCAGGAAATGACCAGAATCAACCCACGGTTCTTATGCTAGGCACTTGTCCAAATGTGATCAGCAAATAAGTCATCACATCTTTAAAATAAAAAGCATCACAGCTGAAAATCTCTGACTTCCTGAGAACGTGAAATCCTAAGTGATCTAAGGGCAGGCAGAAGGGGAACTCAAGGAAATGCGAGAGGTTGGCACCAAAGACTGGGGAGAGAGGACCCATCTGGGCTGGTGCCAGACCCGAGGAGGCTTGGAAGCTGTCACCCTGAAAGTGATGCCACACCAGAGGTGCCAGCAAGCAACCCGTATGGAGGTGACTCCTCAGAGCGGCTGTGTGGGGGCCTCTCAAGTGTGCCCATGCCAGTGCCCAGCTGGAATGCCCTCCAAGAAATCAAGTTGCATGGAAAGATGTGCTTGTCTCCAAACAGGGATAGATAGGTAACCTGAGCGCGCTGCCTGTCTGAGGTTGAGAAAATGCCTGTTTACAACTCCCGCCTGTCGCTGGAAGGCTGGCTGCAGGTCTGGGGGCCACGGAATCCCGCCTTAGCTAACTGGCCTCCCACAGACACTCCTGGGGTGAACCTCCTGGTTCCAATTCAGACACAGATGTGCCCCGCCCACGTGTTTCTGCTCCTGTGACAGGCATCTCAGGCTTGTGTGACAACTAATGAACGTGGCCGGGCCCACTCCAGCAAGCGTCTGAGTCCAAACTCCCCCGCCCTCTGAAGCAGGACATGCTGCTGCTCACCATGCTACCTGCTAGCAAGTTACACAATTCTACATATTCTCCAGAAAAAGCTGTCTGAAAACTTTCTTAAAAAAATATGCCCGGGGCCGGCCGAGTGGCGCGATGGTTAAGAACTGGCTTGGGACACCAGAGGGCCCCGGTTCGGATCCCACATATGAGGGCCAGTGACACTGCCCTCTACAGCTAAGATGCTGAACAACAGCTCAACCTGGAGCTGGGCTGCCGTGAGTCGCCGGCGACGGCGTGGGCTGCAGTCCCTGTGGCAGTGGGTTGCCATGGGCTACCGTGTGTAGCCAGCAGCCAGCGTGAGCGGCCAGCAGCCGCAGTGAGCGGCCGTCCAGAAGCCGGCGACTGATCTGCCTCGCCCAGGAAGAGCACAATGATGGTGCCAACTTGGGCCAGTGAAGCAACGTCCTCCACAACTAGACTGAAGAACAAAATGATAGCAACTTGTCTGTTCCCCTTCCCACAATTCCCCAGCACTGTTCCCATCCCCCCAATTCCCCAATAAAAATCTTTAAAAAAAAAATATGCCCGAAGCTGATTCTATCTGGAAAATGTCTCTGGGATCCAGCCTTCTCTTTCCAGACACTGCTCCCTGGCCCTCCTGCCTCCCTCCCTGTGCAGCTCGCTGCCCGCACATGCCCTTCGGGGCATCCACATGGCTCTGTGGGCTCTGGTCCCTGCCACCCGACTCTGCTGAGCACCCCCTGCCGCCTCGGTGCCTGCTCTTCCCTCCTTGCAGCCCTGCCCCATGGCACCTCCTCTAGGAGACCTCCTTTAACCCGTCTCCTAGGTCTCCATCTCTTCCTTCACACCTCTGAGCATGAACTGAAATGACACCACCAGCTTGCATAACACCTGTCCCCCAGGAGCCCGCCCATTAGAGGGCAGCAGGGCCTCTGCTCTGTCGCCTCCTGAACGTGCTGCCAAGCGCCGTGACAGGCCCGTGGACGCAGCACTTGCTGAGAGCGGGGAGCAGGCCCTAATGAACAAAGCTTCCCGTGCAGCCCTTCCAATGCTCCTACCTGTGCAGCCTCAGTAACGATATGAAAAGCGCCCCTCATCTGTTACTGAACCAAAGAAGGCCCCAAGTGCGAAGAAATGAGCCCTTTGCACAAACCAGACATTTGCTGGTCTGTATTTTCTTTCTTTTTTTGGTGGTGGTGGTGGGGGTGAGCACCTGGCTTTGTGATAAGAACAAAGTTTGGTTTCTAAAGCCCCGGTGGCCACAGAGGCGACGCTGGCGGAGACAGCCACGTCGCGCTGCAGTCATGCTGCAGCACGCTGCCCTGCCAGCCAGCTCTGGAGCTTGTGTCCTATCACAGTGCAAGAAATGAAACCGGAGAGCATCTTGTCAGGCACGGATGTGCTGTAAGATACGGAAGTTTAAAGGAAAGAGAAGACAAAAATCTAACAAGCAAGCAGACACAAAACTCCTGCAAAGCACTGAACCAACTCAGTGGTGACACTTTACCGACAAGGAGAATCTGGAGCGTGTTGGTTTGTTTCTCACGTCAGGAGTCCACTGCTGGCCAGAAGTCACCATTGACTGGCACCTGTTGGCCCTACGTACCCAGCTCCCCAAACAGCACTTCTGTGATGATTACTGCAAAAGGGCCTCCAAAGCTGCTCCTCTGTCAAAGTCAACTCCACTTTTTAAATTGCAAACAACTCACCATAACTGCTTGAGAAGGTGAGCGGGAGACGCTGGCCACCCCCTCACGTCTCACACGCTCTCTGCACCCCAACATCGGAGGGTGCTGGGGAGCAAACTCCATCTCACTGCTCCAGGCATGGAGAACACAGCCTGTCAGCCGGCCTGATTTCAGCAGCCACGCCTGAGGCATGAATGCCCAGCGTGCTTCCGGAAGACCAAAGGGCCGGCCCTTCCCTGCTCCTGGCCTCTGCTCAGGACTTGGAGAAATGACTCGCCTGGTCACTGTCGCCTCAAAACGTGAGGGGAGGAAGGGGCGCTACGGGATGTCTTTGTCCACCACAAACGAGGCCCGGAGAGCTGTGGGGCTCACTGTCTGATAAAACAGCCAGGAAACTGGGTGAGGGCAGAACCCGCGTCGCTTACCTCGCCCACCACACAGGGTACCCGGCTGCCTCTCAGTGCCAACACTGAGCCGTCCTATGGAGCCACCACTTCAGGGAGAGGACTCATTTTAGCACAGCCAGTCCCACCTCCTCAATCTACAAGTAAGAACTCGGAAGGTAGTGGAGGATTTGCTCAAGGCCACACAGCGGGAGGGAGGCGGCTGGGCGAGGCCCAGACCCAGTTCTCCTACCCTACGGGTTCCTAGTTACAATCCTAACTAGAAATCCCTAACCTACAAAGTCCAACCACCAGACCATGAGCCCACTGAGCCCCCGTGGGGCAAGGTCTGTGCATGACCAGGTGGCCACTATGCCCCACCCCTCCCACAGTGCCTGGTACATAGTAGGTGCTCACTAAGCACCACCGAACAAATCAACTCTTGCCAAAGAGATTATTTAACTTAGAACAGACACCAGATCATCTGACTGTTTTTCCAAAGAGAGGTAACACAGGGACTTTGAGGAGTAGGATTTCCAGTTGACATACTCCTCCTAGTACCTGGTTAGCAAAACCACACCAGCTGTTTTAACAGAGAATTTCACACATAAATATAGATTGGTAACCACGTATCAGAGAACTGAAAAGGCAAAGCGAGGTTCTAGGTTGTCGGGAGGCAGCCACACGGGAAGCGGCTGAGCCCCAGGGCTGGGACAACAAGGGGAGAGGAGTTATTTCACTTCGGCAGCAGCCTGAGGGCCATGGTGCTGGGGTCCAGACCTCAGAGGGGTGCAGGCCAAGGCTGGAGTCTGAGGGGCAACGAGCCTGGCCCCGGGAGAGGTGGGGAGTGCAAACTGGACACAGGGGCTGCGGCAGGAAGGAACAGTGTTGCCATGGTGATGGGGGGGGGGGCAGGCAAGAAGGAGCAGACACGGAGACACAACTGGCAGAGGGAAAGGAGTCACAGACCCCAGCGTCCCACAGACCACTGCAAAAGGTGGGCTCAGGTTTGAGGGATAACAGCTGAATAACTGGCACAACTTGTTAAATCCTGTTACAACAAAACTCTACGTACCAGGGAGAAATTGAAGCCCCAAATCAAGACAATTTTAGAATCCACAGAACTCCATTTCACACATAAAAACTGGACAAACATAGAGACGACTATGGGAAGAACATGTATGTAAGGAACTGAAAACAGGTTTCCTCAGCATAGGAATCCCCTTCTAGAAAAAGGAGGGAGAAAATTCAGACTGAGACGGGCTCTGCTATCCAAGCAGGGAAAGGATGAATGTATAGGGAAGGACATTTAAATCGAGACAGAAAATTAAAGGAAACATTTATTTATTTATTCAACAATTATCTAAGAGCCTACTATGTTCCATGCAATCAGCTAGGACAAAAACATTTACAAGACAGAAACAAAGGGTGTAACTTCCAAACTGATAAAGGAGGGGAAATGAAGTGAGCAAACAAACCAAAAATAGCCTTGAAAACAAAACAAAACAAACAAAGGTTCTGGAAAGCAGGAGGAAAAAAACCTAGAAAAAACAGATTTACCAAAAGTACACAGAAATATCATGGAACCAGACTAACATACTAGTAATCCCAATAAATATAAATGGACTAAATTTGCCAATTTATTCTGATCTTACTCTTGAACTATCCGAAGAATGTCAATGT